TTCTCGTGTTCTTGATGGCCTTCTGCTTGATGTTAAATACGAGAAAATAACGTTGTTTGATTGCAGCGTTATGCATCGCTTATAGAATTATAAAGGAATAGAATATGAAAGAATAAATGTGTGTATATTCATTCGCATATAATCATTTAATTTTAAAGATATTCAAATTTGATTAAAAAAATTATTTTATTTATTTGAAATTAATTTATTTAAGTAATAAAATATTTACATTTAATTTCTATTTAATTTAATTAATTAATTTTATTTATAAATATTAAATAAATATATTCATGAATGTATATATATAAATAAATGTATTTATGAATAATAAATAAATTAAAATCAAACAAACTAAAAGAAAAATCAAAACAAACATAATAAATTCAACCAAATATAAATAAATCTAAAAATAGTATTGATAATTGAAGAAATTTTAAATAAATTTATTTATAAATATAAATAAATCAAATAAATTTTTATTTATATTAAATTCATTTAATAAATAATTTTAAAAATATGAATGAATATAAAAATATTATTTAAAATCATTTATTAAACTTAAAAAATAAATAAAAATAAATAAAATTTGAATATATTTACGAATAATATATCAAAATTAAGTTTGTTTGCATCCCCATTGTTTACACGGCTGTTTTATAACTTGGCAGGTGAATTACTGCTTCATTTAAGAAAATGATGAGCATCGACAACTTTCTTTTGATTTTTTTGCTTACTAGCTACTTTTCTCAATGTCGCTTATCTACTTTCAGCTTTATATTTATGTTTCTTCTTTTTCCTCCTTTTACATTTTAGCCTTTTTTAATTTTTTTTTTCCCTTCTTTCGTTGAAACTAATTGAAAGCTCTTGTACAAGCGCTTCAGATTGATTAAAAAGTGCTATAATTGCTTTGAATTGAAGCTCGTAGCTGTCCCTTTCACATTTGCCTTTCGTCCGCATTGTGCTAACCCTTCAAGATGGCAGTCACTGTCGACCCATTGTTTTCAAGATTTTGGAGCTTTTTGCCAAAGGGTAAAAAACTGTGTTGGCTGGCTAAGCTTTCACTTTCATCTTATCTCATCTATTATTCATTAAAAGCTTCTGTCACTAGCTAGCTGCATGTCTTCCTCATACAAGTCACTTCGCGATGGGAAAACAAAGTTACTACTTGCTATCTAGTTAAACGGCGGCAAAGACATCTAAGCCACACCTTCACCTGCCCGTAATTATTAGTTCTTCAGGTTTCTTGCCATATAGGGCATTCATAAGATAGAGGCATCACGTCTGTCCAAATTTCTAAAACATCGATAGGTTTTATATTTCATACAGACTTCAATATCCTGGGTTAGAAAAAACTTGGGGACTGAACTTTTCTCGAAAGGGTGCCATCTACCCTGGATTTGATAGTTTGCTAGACAGATTTGAAGTATGAAGGCAATAGTTGTAGGGCCCAAAAACTGAATTGCTGGGTTATTCTTTATGATAGCAAAGTAAAATGGAGCTCTTTTGACCATCGTTGTATGATGTGGTTAGGACCATTGTGTCAGTACTTTTTGGTGAATAAAACTAGCTAAAGCTAGCTGGATTACACAGCTTCTGAAACCAGAACTGTTTGTGTTTGCTTGTAATAAGCCTCTATTGAACGCATTGGTTAGGATGAGAGAAACAAATAAATGATGTGATATGCAGCCGAGGCCAGCCCCCCTCTTTAAAATGATCAGTCATGTTGGAAAGGGAAACCCACCTGAGGTCTTTCCTATGCCTCAAAGCTCTCATGAATCATGATGGTATATGCATGGATGAGTTTTTTTTTTTTTTTGTGAATGTTATGCTTGCATATGTAGTACATGGGTTATATGATATACAGTGAAGTTCCCTAACAACTAATTTCAAGCTAGCCACGGGCTTTTCCTTGAATCTAATTAATGATGTTGAGTGGGACATCCAAAGATGAGCAGCACATCGCTTTCATCCTGATAGCCAGTAGCAGCTGAATAAATTTCTTCTCTTCTCTTTTCCTCTCCCCTGAATAATAATATAATAATTAATGACGTCAAATATGAATGTGAACAGTGAGATCCAATCATGGCATTTGGGGTTATCTCTCTCTGCTAGTCCTTCCTGTTGCACTCCATCTCCATTCTGCATGAAGGGAATCCTCAACTGTCACCTTCACATGTTGTATGTATATACTATAACCATACATATCATCATATATATATATATATATTGTCTGCTTTATAACAAGTATCTTCTGCACTCTTAAGTAATCACACGATCACATAGTTCTCTACTTTGAGGTTAGTTTTTTAGCAAACCTATTCCACCTTGCAACATAAAAGAAGGTTTGTTGGCATTGTTATAAATGAAAATCACTGACCAACCTTCTCGTTCGCAAGCACATTTATATATATGCAAATGAATTTAAGGCCTAATGAACTTAAATTCTCTTATTTGTTATTGATGTGACGCACGAATGAAGGGCAAAGAAGCAAGAACCATGAAACAAAACCAGCCAAACCCAAAGCCTTTAGTAAAAGTGGACATATGTAATCCTTTGCACATTAAAATCAATATAGTTTAGATTAAAATTAAAGTAGATATAATTCAAGCTAGTTATCAAAAATGATATGTAGTTGTGCAAATCTTTCCTTAATTTGCAACATTATAAGAACTTATTACCAATTTTTACTAGTATAGATATTTTTATAGATGAAGGTAAAATAAGTTCTAAATTGTTTTTTAGTTATCATTCATCATCTTATTGTCAAACCCAGTGTTCAATTAATGATAACAAGAACTTAAAAAGTGATCAATATGTATCTATCACTTAAAAAAACTGAATATGAATACTATCATTTTTTTTTCATATAAAAAAAATAATGTATATGATTGTAGAAACCACAAGAGAAAACCTTTATTTATGGACATCACATGTAGCTTTTAGTGGTTTAAAGCATTATGGATAATGAATGAAACAAACAAGAGTTGATATAATACGGTTTTTCAAGGGAGGCAGCATTGTTTGGAAATGTCAACAAATTGTGGGGACTTGGAGACTCAAAAAGGCATAGGCTTATGCTCGCATTTCCAAAATACACACATACACACTCGTGCAATCTTGGGAATATTAAATTAAATTAAAAGCATTACGGTCATATATATATGTATAGGACTGTGTTCAAATGACATTATAATATTCACAAACTATAGAGAATGTTATGGTCATATATATATATATATATATATATATATATACTACATATTTTTCTATGTAAGTATTAATAGGTGGTGTATATAGATATACATATAGATTCTTTTTTATAATATGATATATTCTAATTTGCAATAAAAAGATATGAATGCCCTTGGCAATAGTTTGTTGAAATAAGTCCAAAACGCTCAAATCCCAATGCAAAAAGGATTGCAGAAATTTACCTGATGGACTGGCCGACTGGCTGCAGCCAAGATCTTGATATTTGTAAACTTAGAGATACATGCATTTAATTAGTGGTTAACTCAAGTTACCCCTATGCCTAGAAAACATGAATGATTTGGGAAAACTAAGAAATTGTTATTTCCAGAATTCCCCTTTGTTGACTGTTAATTATCTGGTTTCAATTAATCTCCTATGAGTTTTGAATGGTCAAATTGTTGGAAGGAAAATTTTGTGCATTGGACTTGCTTCTTGTTTCTTGTGTTAGAAACTGTGTCATGTGTGGAATAATAGAGCATTCTAGTTCTACCAACCCACAACCCTTTTATATCTAAGATTTACATATAAAAATATAAAATCTCCATTTCCAACCGAAATAAAAAGAAAATGTCTATCTTCTTCTTCTCTCTTTAAATAAATGATAGACAAATTAAGTTTACAGATTCCCACATGGGAAAATTTTGAGTGCATGTTATTTATACGAGTTTTTACATTAATTTAAATTAATTAATTTTAAGTTAATAACGTATTTTTTTCTCTGAACTAAAAGAATATATATAATCATGTTTTCACGAATTGTTAGTAATGATCCATCAAATGTGGTGTCTGAGTGTCCTAAATAAGTGAGGCTCACGTCTCGTATTGAGCTGGCTTCCCACGTCAAAAAGTTTAAGTGCATGTAACTTAAAATGAAATTTCGCATTAACTCAAATCAATCAATTTTAAGTTAATGATGAAAAAAAAAGTTTCACAATATATTTTAACGTGATTTCATGAATTTTGAGGTTTTAATTTGAAAATTCAATACATGGCACTTGATATAGGGGTATTAATGAAGAAATCAAAGAGGATTGACTTCACTTGCTGTAGCTTTTGTCCATCACTTTCCTTGCCGGCTCCATTGTTAAAACTATTACTTGGATCCTATCCTATCCTATCCTATCCTAGCCACTGCATCTGCATTTGCCTTTGGTTTTCATTTCAAAAATGCCCTTAGCTTTGTTCCGCTTCTACATTAATTTTCCTGTTCAATATTCAGTTATCATGTTAATACTGGAAACTTCTCTAGGTGTTATTGGAGAAGCATTTGATTCACAATCACGGCACAAAGAACTGCGTACAGCCCAAGACATATTCAATGACTTAACATAAGATACCAACCAGTTTTTAAATTAAACCTTTCACTACTTTTTGAATTGTTTTATTACATATACATATACATAAACCAGAAGCCAAAAAGAAGATACACTGGAACAGGGAGAATACTGTGTATTGAGGAAAATGCATGTAAAAGGAACAAAATACACGCCCACCAAAGCAAATGGAAATGGGCTTAGCCAGCCTCAAACCACTTTGTTGGTTGGCTCAAGCAAGATAATGGTTTGATATAACAGAATGTCCCCTCCACCCCTTTGTTTCTCTTAACTCTATGAGGTGCAACTGCAACTCTCTCTCTTAGGAGACAACTGTCTAATCTCTGACTTCGGTCTCTGCCTTTTTACTTTTTTCTGCTTTCACAACCTTCTCTCATATTAAATCTTTCACCTTGATTTTCCCCTAACTTTTTTGCTATTTTTTACCTTACAAAAATTACCCTAATTAAGCTCTTCACTCACTGCATGTATATGTATATGTATCTCTATTTATATAAGTATGCGTGTCTCATCATTCTAGTTGCCAAAGTACAAGCAATCCACTTTATAATAGTTTCTTTTTCCAATCTTTTCAACCATGACAGACCCATGCTCCAATCTCTTCACTGGATGCTTCAACTTCATGCCTCTCAATCCCCAATACACTTCTTTCAGTGCTCCAACTCCAAATCACCCAAACCCTTCTTCTCAAGCTCACACAAACAATATAATCTTCAACAAATCTTCCATTCAGTGTCAAAGCACACATCCTCCCTCACCTCCTTGCCAAGAAGCTCTTCCTCTCATCAATTATTTAAGTCCCACGAGGCAAGAAGAGAATGAACCCTCGAGCAGTTCTATGGAAGAGGATAAGAACATGGATAAAGAAAGCCTCTTTTCCAGCACTGTTGATGATGAAGCTGTAACTGTAGCCCTACACATAGGCCTACCTAGCCCTAGTTCCGATCTGAGGTTTAGGCTCTCTCAGTCTGCAGATGTGACAGACAATTTAGGAGGGAATGGTAGTGCAGTTTCTGGGTTTCCCTTAAGCAAGGGGCAGTATTGGATTCCTACCCCTACTCAGATTCTCGTTGGTCCTACACAATTTTCATGTCCTGTCTGTTGCAAGACCTTTAATAGATATAACAACTTGCAGGTATGCCTCATTGCATGAGACATGATCCGTGAAATTTTCCTTCTTCTTCTCCTTAGCTTTAGCTTCTCTCTTCGTTAATTCTTCCATTGCCTTTTTCTTGATTAAGTGGCTAAGAGCCGAGGGGCAAGTTAATGTTGATATTTGATCTGTGATAAGGTTTACATTAGCTTTCTTATGCTATCAGCTTTTATGGTGTCTCTTAAGTATCTTTTTGCCTTTAGCAAACTATCTAATTGTTTTTAGGTGATTTAATATATATTTGCACATATATTAAGTCACTTACTAAGGTCAGCATAGCTTTGGATCTCCTTGATTTAACTGTTATTCTTGAATATGTTCCTTTTGCTTCCTGGAATTTTGAAGAGTGCGCTGAACCCCTGCTGAATTGCCAGTAGGTTAATGCAAGACTGATGAGATTTTCAGCGTTTCCAGGGTTACTTCAGACGGATCAGTTGATCTTTTGAATGTCCAGTCTTTAGAAAACTGTTTGCTACTGTAACATTTATAAAGTCATTTCTCATGTCTGCAAAAAGAAACACCCTGGATTCAGATGCCTTTGCATCCGAAGCAGTAGATAATATTAGTCTGACACTGCAGCCTGTAAATTAGAGACCTCTAATTAATACCTATTACAATTAACGAAGGCATCTCATGTTAAATTCCCAATAAAATTGTTGAAACCTTGAAAGATATCTCATCGATCCTAATTGTTATGTTTGGGGTTTATTTACCAATTCAAACTCTTAGATATTTGATTTGATGTGTGCAACTGCCAACACCCATCCATCCCGGCCCTTCTTTCTCTCTTCCTCTCTTTGTAGGACTTGATTTTTTATATTTGAAGATGTTAAGAACTAAACCCTATTACTGAAACTAAGAGTTAGCATACTCATAACTAGTTAATAGGATATCATGTTATTCCTCCTTGAGGAGATGTCGTATAAGATTATATATGGTTTAAGGGTTCTTGCAGTACTTATTTCGTTATAATGAAGTATTTTCTCTCAGTTTTTGCAAATTTCTATGGGCTCTTATATATAGTGCATATAGTGCATATATATATATAGCTTTCTTTCTAATTATAATGACCTGATTGCTTCCTACGACTCTATCTGATCTCTCTAACTCCCATCATGGATTTGTGGCTTCATATATGCATATTGTGCAGATGCATATGTGGGGGCATGGATCGCAGTACAGAAAGGGACCTGACTCTCTAAGAGGAACGCAGCCAACCGCCATGCTAAGACTCCCATGCTATTGCTGTGCACCGGGTTGTAAGCACAACATCGATCACCCAAGAGCAAGACCTCTCAAAGATTTCAGAACTCTCCAAACACACTACAAAAGAAAACATGGAATTAAACCCTTCATGTGTAGAAAATGTGACAAGGCTTTTGCAGTGAAAGGAGACTGGAGAACCCATGAGAAGAATTGTGGAAAGATTTGGTATTGCCTTTGCGGGTCTGACTTCAAGCACAAGAGGTCTTTAAAAGATCATATCAAGGCTTTTGGTCCTGGTCATGGGGCAGTTGGCATCGATTCTATTGATGAAGATGATGAACCCGGATCAGAATTTGAGCTTGATGTGAGTCTTCCATGTTAAATAAAATCCAGCTCGCACCTACTAACTACATTTTTGGTTAGATTAAGTTGTTGCTTCCTTTTTTCTTTTCCCCCCTTAAAAATAAAAAAATTAAGAGCCATGGCGAGTTGTTCATATATATAAACAGTGTTTATCTATGTAAGTCTTCCCGTGTTTGTTTTCTCTTCTTTGGTTTCACTGATCAGTTCTGTAAATCCTTCCACCTTAAACCAAATGTTGTTCATCATTTATAAGCAAATGAATGGTTATTTTTGGCATGTAATAAGCTGAAAATTAAGTTTAGCTATATGTGTGTGTGTGTGTGTGTGTTCTTGCACATGCATGCAAGTGTAGATAAAGAAATGAATGACACCATCATCCAGTTTCCTCTTAGATTAGCTGGCTATTTGGGTGTTTCAATCAAACAATACTAATACTACATATTCTTGTTATTTTGTTGAATTAATCCGGTTAAAATTAATGGAGTAATAAATTAGATTAACCCTACTGGATTGAGCTACAAGATTTTTCATTCAAAATGCCACTGTTGACTGTTCAATACAACTAGCTAGGTCAAGCATCCTCAAAACAACCCACCATCTAATTAAGGTTAAAGAGGTTTTTCATTATTGTTTATAAAATCAATTTTATGGGTTATTTTAATTAATTTTGGTTAAGTAATTGTAATTTTATTTTTTCTTTTTTTTTGGGGGTGGGGGGGGGGGGGAATGGGGGAAAGGGAGGGAGGTGGAAGACTAGAGAAAAGAAAGATGAACCAATCAAATAATGGATAGAGGATGCAGTGACTTGGTTCGCTTTTGCTTTATGTCTTTAATCTTAAAACACGACAGCGATACCACATGATATAAAAAAAAAAAGACAAAAAAATAAAAACGTTTAAAATTTTAATAAAAATTATTTATAAATTTAAAAAATAAAAAATATATATTTTATCTTTTATATTGATACGTAACACATCATTTTTATATAAAACATAATATCAATATATATTTTATTAATATTTTATATTACACAAGCTTGTGACAACTATTATAATACTCATCTATGTTCTGCTACTGCCGTGCATCTCATTGTTTCCGGATTTTGGTTTGATAGAATAACTTTAACTTTCTTCCTGTTTATGGTGTTTAATTATCAGCTGCATTGAGTTTAAAACGACAGACCGCTGACTGCCTTTGATGCACAGTTATGAGAGATAAGTTTTGTTCTTTCTCAGCATTTTTTTCTGTTTGATCAATAAATTTTTAAGGTAGCCACTGAACAGCTACCAAATACTTGTAGGAGCCGCCCTCTCAAGTTTGCCTGCTAGAAATCAGTTGATCCAGTCTGTTCACTGTTGCATGTGATAAGCAACCTTTTTAATGTCTCTCACTGCTGTCTTACTACTACTAGTGCAGATCAGATTCGAGCTCATGGATGCTGAATTCATTCAAGTGTCATCGTTAATCAGAAACTGAATCGAATTTATAGTAACCCAGAAATTAACAAAAGAAACGCTCACTGGGTTCAACTTGCAATTCAAAATGAAGGTCGAGTAACAAGTAAAGGAACTGCTCTTTTACATAACATTAACTCGTGATAATGCCTTGATCTACTTTACATTACAATATTAAAAATCGTCAAAAATCCAACAGTCTTGAAGGATTCATGAATGTGCCTCAAGGTGTCCTCATCGCGTTTCCACTCAGGCGCTGGTGCATTAACAAAATGGGCATAAAGCTTGTTCTTTGCACAAGTAACAGCTATCAAACTATTGCTTGCCAATCCCATCGATCTCGTACACATAATAAACCTGTCCATTTTCGTCTTTCTTCTCATCGGAGACCAAGCTGTCAGCCCCTGCTATCAAATCCTGCAACTCCACGTTAGATAAAGCTAAGTTGTTCAAGACCACATCTTTTGGAGCTAACTGTCTGACCTCAGCCAAGAACGTTAAGTACTCTTTCTCTTGTCTCTTCTTCGGATTGTAGAACTCGCTGTCGGTTCCATTGGTGCCCTTTTCGACTTTGGAAACTAAACTTTCTTTCCAGCCGTCACGGACGTCGTAGACGTACTCAGCTCAGGCTTTCTTGTCGGAGTTGCCACCGTAGCCGCCATATTTAGACGCGCTGGCGGCGGTGCCGTAGTAGAGTTGGTATGCTGAGGGTTGAGCTTGAGCGGCTACGTAGGGAGGGGAGATTAGGAGTGTGGTGGTTGCCAATGCGGTGCTAAGAGCAGTGGCTAGTGGTTTGGTGAACAAGAGTAGTGAAGGTTGTGGTTGCTTCAACTGTGGGGCTTTGTCGGCGGCGGAGGAGGAGGATAGACAATGAATGGAGGAGAAGATAGGTGCCCATGTGACATGTGGAGATTGGTGGTTATGGTTTATCTGATTTTCCTGATCTCCGTCTGACGATTTTTATTTATTTATTACTAAAAAAAGATTATTTTATTTAAATACTTAAAACATGTATCTCTCAATTAAGTAAATAGAAATTTGGGATCATAAATCAGGGGTCATTTCCGTAATTAAACCCAAATCCCTTGGTCCCTGTTTTGTAATAATTAATCTTGTTAGCTTCTTTCATTCTGTGAATCCATTGCCATTGGCCCTGCCTAAGTGGTGATGTTTCCATCATTTTCTTTTTCTGTTTCAATTAATTTCATCAAATATCTTTTTTGATTACATTTGCCTTTGTATTTGACAATGATTGTGATGATGTTTTGATTAAGGCTTCAATTTGAGGGAACTGACTGTTTTTTCGTTTCAACTTCTGTTTGTCTGCTGAGAAAATTTTGGCTAGATTTTTTCTTGGCAGCACTAGAATACCAGGCAGTCAAATTCAGTAATTTTTATCCCAGACAATATAGATACTATAAAGAAAATATTATCTATGAGCATGGGGTGCACATTAACATTACTAAAATTTCTGAAATTTTGAATGAAATGGTCGAAAATGTTTGTTTTGTTGGTTGTTGCTTTAAGCCTCGCTGTATGAATGAAGCAGAACAATGAACTTTTTGGTTGGTTGGTTTCTTTTGCGCTTAAATGTTGGGAATATATGTCTTGAAATTACTGAATTTTGGGAATTGTAGATTAATTACTTGTTTTGATGTCTCAAAACTTGTCTGTCTGAGCAATATCCATGTTTCCAGATGATGTCTGGTTGTAGACTGCTGGTTTTTGTAACTTTTTAATTTGCTTATCATTTCAGAATTCTTTGTAAGTTCTTTGCTCATCGAGCATGCCTCAAAGGGGAGCATTGTGAGTTTTCCCATGATTGGAAGGATCCAACAAGTAATGTAGGAAGTTTCCATTGGCTTCTCTGTTCTCCATTTACCTATTGCTGATACTTTTTGGTTCACCTTATTGTTGCTTCTTACCTGGTCATTGCAGATTTGCACATACCATCAGAAAGGAATCTGCTCTTATGGTAGTCGGTGCAGATATGAACATGTTAAAGCTTCTCATTCTGATTTATCTGCTTCGTCTTGGTCAAGAATGCCTCGTCAATCTCAGATCTCAGGTTCTGTTCCTCTAGGTCCTTCAACAACGACATTTGGTGGGTCGGTTGTACTTCCAGCTGCTTCTACTGAGTTTCCTGGTTCCAATAGAGCCTTCCTTCCTCCCACCAAACATGCATGGAATTTGGAATCTGGGCATCTAGATCTATCGGATAATGGTGATGTAGTGGAGCCTAGGAGTGTTAATCTAGTTGCACGTTCCATCTACTCGTTTGCCTGCAGCTGGTAATTGCCCCCATGGAGAAAAATGTCCTCATATTCATGGAGACTTAGTGTCCCACCTGTGGAAAACATTGTTTGCATTCTTTCAGACTTGAAGAAAGGGAGGAACTTATAAAAATGTGTGAGAAAAAGCAAAAACACCTTCAGGCATTGAAACATAGTCAAGAAATAGAGTGCAACGTATTGGTAGTTTAGAATGTGGTGCATCCCACATTGAATAGAAGAATTTAATTATTGATGAATAAAATTAATTTTTGTATTAATTTTATTTATATTTTAAATAATTATGATTGAACAGAAATAATTATCATATGACAAATGATCATAACTATTTAAATATAAATAGATTGTTATTCATAAAGGTCATGATTATATAGAACGTCATAACTATCTTAATAAAAGTATATATCTGTTCATTCATTATAAATAAATCTTTCAGTATAACCATTTTCACTACTTCTGATTTAGAGAGTTTTAAGACTTTGTTGTATCCTATAGGCATAATTGCCTTTAAGACAATGTTATTCTCGTCTCAAAGCTATATTTTCTTCTTTCTTACTATTTCTGTTTTTTTTTAAATCTACTAACAATTTAAAGGCAATTATGGATACTACACATACTATTGTCCCTACTACTGCTATGGATTTGGAATCAAGCATGAAGGTTCATTTTCAAAATCAAGATGTAATCAAACTTGATCATTTTAATGGATCAAACTACACTAGATGGAAGGACAAAATGGTTTTTCTATTGACAGCATTGAAGATGTTTTATATACTTGATCCAAATTTGGAATCAATTCCAAAACCAACTCCTAAAGGTTCTGATACTATTAAGGCAACAAAAAGCAAACATGAAGAAGATGAACTAGTTTGTCGAGGTTATATTCTGAATTCATTATCTAACCGTCTATATGACCTATATAGAAATACGAAAACACCAAAAGAGATATGGAGTGCTCTTGAGCACAAATACATGAACAAAAGAAAGGTACGGATAAGTTTTTGGCTTTGAAATGCTTTGAATTTTCAATAACTGATGATAAACCAATCATGGACCAAGTGCACGAGTTACAAATTCTGGTCTCTAAGTTAAGTGAGCTGGAAATTAAGGTTCCTGATTTACTTCAAGTTGGAGCTATTTTGTCAAAACTTCTTCCTTCATGGAATGGATATAGGAAAAAAGTTCTACATTCAACAGATACTTTCACTATTGAAGAATTTCAAACTCACATACAGATTGAAGCAAAAAATCGTGCAAGAGATGCACTCTTTCTTGGAGGTTCCAATGTGAATTATATGAGTGGACAAAATTCTGAAAAAACTCACAAGTCTTTTGGTAAATTTCAAAACAATTTTAAAGTCAAGAAGAATGGATTTAAGAAGTTCAAATTTAACAAGAACAAAATATATTTCCATTATGGAAAGAAATGACATTTGATTAAAGATTACAGATTTAAAAACGCTGAAATTAAGATTGGTTCTAGTTCTGAAAGCAAGACAAATCTGGTTGAGCAAAAAATTAATGAACTTAATGCAATGGTGACTGATATGCAAAT